TGTTTTTGATGGAGGATGAGGACGAAGAGGACCTACTTCAGTTGTTGCATATTAAACATGCTAACATAAACTACTATATTTACCGGACAAGACAGCAAGAGGGTTACTTCAAAATACTGATCAAATCGCATTTACAAAGAGACGAAAAGAAGTTTATAGAATTCTTTCTTAAACCAAAATCAATTTCATTTCAAAATCATAATTTCTTTATTATTATTATATATACTCATTAGATATAAATGAATAAATTACTTTACTTACTGTCTTGTTCCACTATTGCAGCTATTTGGCTACAAATATTGTCTTTTACTTCCAAGTTCTTAAAATCCTTATGGCTATGATTAAACAATTGAGGATATTTACTCACTTCCACAATCAAAAATTCATCATTCTCTGATGTAAATATCTTACTCATATTTTTGTTATTACCGGTCTCAATAGAAGTAAAAATTTACATAACTTTCGTTGCGAGCAATCCAGCCGTGACTTCCAGATTGGTCTCGAACCAGTGGGGACACAGCAGTCCAGCGCCCTAGATGGAGAGGTGGCGGTGAACATTTGAGCAAAAGCACTTGTATTAGACCAGAGCCGGGCAAATTTTAATTTCGTAGGAGCCGCTACCTGAGGTTAGTTTGAGTCACTCCATACCTTTCACTGAGTACGAAAGAGTAAACAGTAATAACCCATATTGCTTTCTCTTTTTCTTCTCCCTTCCCCTTCCAAGATCCTTCATCTAGTAGAGTGAAGCCTCTCTCGCAACTTAAATAATGCCTAGGAAAATTTTCTAATGATCGTCCCGCAGCTCAGGGGTAGCATGCCGGACTACGTTCACAATACTATTGGGTTCAACGATGGAAGAGGGTACTCATCTAGAAAATGGAAGGGATAAGAAACGGAAAGAATCATCTCACTTGTAGAAGCACTCGGGAGTCAAAAGAGCCGAGTTTGCCCGGCTCTGTATTAGACTTCGTAAGGGCTGATAACGACTGCCAGATGCTATCGACAGATGTAACGGCTAGCAGTCCTACCAAAAAAACACCTTTAGCCGACCCGTATAGCGGCTTCGAATTTAATATTGGAGCCATAGGAAGCTCAAAATGCATTGCTCGAAGCTAGTTTGGACAGCGCTGGACTAGATCGTACAGAGTATACACGTATACAATATAGAGCATAGATAAACATATATTAATGGACGAGCCTTAGCCGTCTGTCGTTGTAATAATTTCTTGGCTCGAAAAGTGAGGGAATGTCGTATGGTTTCCAACTAATGCTATCTCTTTCATGACATACTTACGCACTATCGTGAGAGAGATGGATATTATCCGAAACTTCGTTCCTTCTCTTTCTTTTGCTGTACCACAATTCTGACCGCAAAGGCATGTCCATTAGTAAACGTCGATGGTATAGACCGTGTATACCTGTATATGTGTTCACTATAACGTATAACTTATAACCTATTATCTATGCTTATAACAGTATAACATATGTAAACGGATCAGCGGCGATATTCTTCAATTCTTTGTAATGTGCCAATTTAGGACGTGGAATCAACTTCAAAGTGGGAGTCGATAAAAGGAAATCTATTTCAAAGGACTTAAATGTTTGATAAAAAAGCTGGTTTTCTTTTTTCGAGTAATTTATTCAATTGTCGTTAAATAAAAAACAAACACAAACAAAATTGTCTTTAATAACTGTGTGAGGAGAACGTAATCCAAACTCTCATTATTTTTTGTACTGTAGTTATATGTCTGAATGACCTTTTTTGATGAGTACACTTTTTGCACTGGCAACGCACCTGCTATCTTTTGGAAACCTTCGCGAGAGTAGTTTCCTGGTGGTATACCCGCGCTCGTGCACAGCTTTACTCCCCCGGACAGGTGAATCGGTAAAGTAGCTATCTCAACAAGCACCAAGTGAAGCAATTAGAAGAACTATTTGGCCGTTTTCAACACGTCTTCGTTTTGTCAAATTAAGTCTTTGGTAGGACCAACTTTAACATACCATCGCATCAACACTGGAACAGTAAGGTCCATCGAACAACCACATAAAAGAGTTCCTTAGGCGAAGCAGGAGGAAGTCAATAACCTGCATGCATAAAAAGGGGTGATCGAAAGATCTTACACCTCTTCGGCCTCCTCTAAAGTACTAGTACGTAAGAAAAATGGTTCTACGAGATTTTATGTAGACTTCGGGAAGCTGAACGACGTAACGCAGAAGGACAGCTACCCATTACCCCGAAACGACGACACACTACACAGTCTATCTGGAGTTAAATGATTTATCTACTATAAATATGAAACACTTCGACATTTAATAGGGGTTAATATCAAGTATTAATGTGAAAATTCATTTTAATTTTCAATCCCACTATAGACTACCTCAAGTTAATGAGGGGAAAATTTGTTGTTGTCACACCCTCGCCAGGAATCGAAACCGGGACCTTTGGCTTTACGCGGCAANGCTACTCGAATGACGTGATTGGGTTCGAGAGGGTAGCCTCATAGGTAGGTGCCCCCGAACTGGTCACTGGGATGCTAACATCTACGGATGGTTGGGTGTCCAGGGAAGCCTTTACTTATTTTAGGTTGACACTAGCTAGTCGTCGAAGAAAAGTAGACAAATGGTAATTCACATATCTTGAATATGAGTTGGTTATAACGACAGATCCTGTGGGAGCTAGGGGGAAGAAATCCCCCGGGTGAGTAATTGAAACAATCATTATTAATTGCGAACGGAACAGTAACTGTTTATGTTTTTTTTGATATCTGCGATTTTCCTGTCGAGTCTATAAATCATTTGCCGCTGCCGAGTGACCGCTTCCTGATGACCCATGCAGATTGTTATTGATATGAAGAACTATCTTCAGGTAACATCTTCAATTAATTATTAAAGTTTTACACTTACACCTCTTCGGACTCCTCTAAAGTGCTAGTACGTAAGAAAAATGGTTCTACGAGATTTTATGTAGACTTCGGGAAGCTGAACGACGTAACGCAGAAGGACAGCTACCCATTACCCCGAAACGACGACACACTACACAGTCTATCTGGAGTTAAATGATTTATCTACTATAAATATGAAACACTTCGACATTTAATAGGGGTTAATATCAAGTATTAATGTGAAAATTCATTTTAATTTTCAATCCCACTATAGACTACCTCAAGTTAATTAGGGGAAAATTTGTTGTTGTCACACCCTCGCCAGGAATCGAAACCGGGACCTTTGGCTTTACGCACCAACGCTCTGACCACTAAGCTATAAATACGGTTTGTCGTTGTTGCTGTTGTTACCACTTGTAGCGTAGTGGTCAGAGCATTGATGCGTAAAGCCAAAGGTCCCGGGTTCGATTCCCGGCGAGAGTGTGACAAATAACAAGTTTTTCCCTCATTAACTTGAGGTAGTCTGTAGTAGGATTGAAAATTAAAAATTTTCACATTAATATTTGATTATCTACTATCGATTTGAAAAGTGGATACTGACAAGTGGATGTGCATCTACAAGAAAAGGTAAATACAGCTTTTACAACTGGAATTGGTGTGTGACAGTTCAATGTAATGCCTTTTGGGTTGTGCAATGCCACATTTAAAAGACTCATGGACACTAAATTACAAGGACTAAGCTGGAAAATTTATTTGGTTTAGTAAGAAATCATACTAGGAGGAACCTTCAACAACCATGTTCTAAACGTAACCAAAATCTTCAAGAAATTGACAGCCGCAAAATTAAAGTCAAGTCTCAAGAAATGCATCCTGTTTAGAAGAGAAGTGAAATACGTACATAGGTCATTTCAGCACCGAAAGGAATTATGACCGACCTGACCAAACGGATGCCGCACAAAATTGACCCATCCTACTATCGAAGATTCATATAAGGATTTGCCGATATAGCCCGACCACTAGACTTACAGAAGGTGGTATTCCATTCCAATAGACACCCTAATGCAAAAAAGCATTTAAACATCTGAAGATTGCACTTCCTGGAGCACCAAAATGTACATATCCACAGTTGAACAAACCCTTCACTGTTTGTGCCGGCTCTAGTACTATGGGACTAGGTAGTGTGCTATTCCAAGCACAAGATGGAAAGGAAAAGATTATTGGGTACTTTGGTAAAACACTCTTCAAACAAGAACGAAATTATTGGGTTATTCTTCGACAGCTACTTGCTGTGGTTACAACCTTCGAACATTTTCACAAAAACCTGCACAGATGGAAATTTCTTGTAAGTGGGTTCTGCAATTCAAGAACCCCGAATACAATATATAGACTATTATTAGATATGACAGTATCAGCGTGAATGTTTTTTTAATACTCTCCCAAATTAATATCTCATTTCATGGGCTTGTAAAAGTTGGTAATTTGTTACAATTATTACAGATCAAACAGTGAACTGCACAATTTTTTAAATTGTAAATAAAAAATATTGGAAAAAATCGCCGAATTCTGATTATAAATATATATGTAAATAGTCCCAATTTCATTTAAATCGGCTGGTATCGTTTTTGAGAAACATACTTTGTTTTTGTTTTATTTAATGAAAAATCAAAATCAATAGATATCTGATACTTCAGGATCATCATATCTCATCACTATCAATATACCCAGCAAAGATTATTCAGATGTTACTCTGAGACAAGTATGTTTATCATCTTATGCCCTTTGGATATCTTCTTTTAACCAGCATTTTATTAGTTTCTCTGTTCTCAATTTTATTCTACAATCTAATCCACTGAAATGCGCATTCTAAATATAAGTAACAAATAATACATCTGCACATTATTTATAAGCATCTTATTTTTGCTGTAATGTGTTTGTTTGACAAGATGTTACTCCTGCAGGAAACCATTACTTGCCACATTTTACACACAACTCTTAAAAGAAAATTGTGCATGTTGCCATAGCAATATAAGTATAAACAACTACATAGCTACATACTGTCTACCAGAATTTCGTAGAAATTTCTAAAAATCACAATGTATAAAGAAACAACAATACTGATCATCATAGATATAAAACTATATTTAGTAATTAAACCCACTGTTTAAATATTAATTTTAAATGTTTTTTAACTTTGTTTGCAATCACCTACTCCATCATTTTTAGGTACTAACTTCTTTACTTCCTCAAAAATTATGTTTTCTAATTCCAAAAATTTGTTTGGTTTTTTATACTGCAAAAAGATTAAATATAGTGGCAATATAAAAAAAAATATTTAGAACACTTACAGTTATAATTAAAGTATTAAACTTATGTGAAATACACAGACTGCTTTGCTCTGGTAACAGATTGACTCGTTTTAATTCTGGTATACTAATTTCTTTATAATATTTTTTGTTGGATGTGCTAACTATTATCTTATTCTTAGTACTATCAGCTGTTACATTGTACGTTTCTATAGGATATGATAAATTTCTTATTCTCCATTCAATATTTTTTTTTGTAATTCGTTTGGTAATGAACGGCTGGTTTGAGTTTTCTTGAATAATAAGTGATTCATTTTCAGCTAACTTTGGTTCAGGATCTCCAATCTCTATGTCCCATTCATCATTGCTTTTAATTTTTGATTTTTTTCGCCATGCTCTTCGTGTTAAAACCTCGGTATCCATATTATATTCTTCAACCATTTCCTGACCATCTTCTAGTTCGTAATGAACTTTTCGTAAATTATTTTGACTAATACATGTTTTTTTGGCATTTTTTAACAACGTTATCCAATCTTTTTCCATTATAAGCATAATTTAAAATTATTGACTCAACAACTTTATCCTAGCAACCTATTTTTTTATAGTCAATGATAAAGTGAACCATAGACGAGAAGTGAACTATCATAGATAAGAGATATATTATGGTGAACTACCATGTAAAAATTGTTGAATCAATGAGTTTTACCTATTTTAGTAATTTCCTACATATTTAACTTATTATGTTATAGAATTTTAAAACAATATTTTTTTCCTAAATAATACCTATTAATCTACAACAGATATTGGTTAAGATCATAGACAATAAATTATCAATCATATCTTCAATAGATAAGGTACATGGAATAGTGTGAACTTGGCACCCGATATAAATAATCTACTGATTTGAACCCTATCAATAAATTGTGCGTCGTTTGTGGGTTCCAAATATGTAAATATCATAATGTGCGTCCATCACTTCTGTTAAAAAGAAGAAAACTGTTTCGGGTGCAGGTGAAAATTAAATGTCAATTTATTCAAAAACTACTAGATATGATAATTTAATTGACTCTCATTGATTGCATATCATTTATGCTTGAAGACTGATCTAATATGATAAGCGGAATTTATCTTTATATTATTTATTAGTAATAATTACATATAGCACTTAATTTTTTATTGATATTACTAATAGGCGTTTCCGACTAGTGTTATCTCTTTCATGATACGCTTACGCACTATTGCGAGAGAGATGGATATTGTCTGAAACTTCATTCCTTCTCTTTTTTTTTGTTGTACCACAATTCTGACCGCTAAGGCATGTCCATTAGTAAACGTCGATGACCACACCAATGCCATTATTGTAATCTCGATGTGTTTTCGGGCGGTAGTCCATCAAAAAGCTCGAAGTAGCTACCATAGACATATATTATGGTAGCTACAGCCATCGACGTCTACTAACGGACATGCCTTTGCGGTCCGAATTGTGGTACAGCAAAAGAAAGAGAAGGAACGAAGTTTCGGGCAATATCCATCTCTCTCACGATAGTGCGTAAGTGTGTCATGAAAGAGATAGCACTAGTCGGAAACAATACGACATCTCTCTCACTTTTATAACTATGGCTACAGCTTCCACGCATTGAGGGAGAATAAAATGTGATATACATAGAGTCGCTTGAGGAGTTCCATAGAAATTAAGACTCCTGTAGGTGTATGTAAGAAGAAACATTCTGAATATTTAAATAAAATACCAACAATAATATAATAAAAAACAATTCGACAATTGTTGCGACATATTAGTTACGTTTCTGTACTATTGAAAATGATCAAGTCGAAACAATTGTCAAATTGTGTTTTATTATGTTATTGTCAAAACATTTGGGTGTTTTTTATAAATACAAGATGTGTTTTGCCCTTTACTGACCTTAGAAACGGCGGTGGATATTGACTTCTTTCCATTTGTATTGGAGAAGAGAGTAACGGCGTGACCAGTAATTTAATATCATTGAAGTGGAAGGAAACACTGGAACGAGCTCGCTTATGGGAAGCTGTTGAGAAAGATGATCTCAAGTGTTAGACAAGGTCAAATGCTTTGGGGTGGTTATCTGTCTGTGTCGTACTAACGTAAACAGAGGTGTTATTTAGGCTGTGTTGTTAATTTTGTTAGTTTTTTAAAATAATTAGTTAAATGGTTAAATATTGTTGTGCATATGGGTGCACAAATGAATGGAGACCCAATGGAAACATAAAATTCCATAAATAAGTGTTAATTAGAGATTAAAACAATGAAAATTAATTTAACCTGCATTATGGGTGTATGTGTAGGCGAAAATTTTAATGAAAAATAAGAATAATTGCCTTGTTAATTATTAGTATATTAGTTCTACACATATATTTATTTTAAATTTCCACTGAAAAAGTACGCCAAAAAAAGAGACCTCAATAATTGGGCGATAAAT